TGGGTTTTTGGGGTTTTTTGGGTTGTTTTCTTCTACCCTATATATACCCCTTTGTCATAACTATTTTCATCACCAAGAGAGAGTTTTAAATAAGTTTTAAAATAGATTAAAAGTTTGTTTAGTTTGTTTTAAGTTTGGGGTTTTTGTTTACAAAGGAAGAAGCTTGCGTTGTCAATTGAGGGATTCATCCCCAATCTTCTTCATCCTCTCATTTGTGTTTATAGAGAAGTTTTTCTAACTTTTTTCTCTAGCAATTTTATTATTGATTTTCATATTCTTATTATTGCTAGTTTGCTAATTGAGTTAGATCTTATTTCACTCATTGTTTACATACACCCACTTGAGCTTATTGTATTTTTATACATAGTATATTTGGGTTGGTGAGAGTTGTAACAATTAAGTGTGTGCTTTAATTGAGTTCTCACCTTGTATTAGAGAACAAATCATTTGTTGTTATTTAAGAGTGTTGTAGAGTTTTCGGTTAGCTAGAAAACTGTATTGTGAGGTGTGGAGTGTAGACGTTGATCGGTGACCGTTGAAAACCGATACTGTGAGGTGTAAACGTTATTCGGGTGAGCGTAAAAAACCCGGTTGTGATAGTGGATTTCTCCCCGGGAGTGAGGAGCAGAGACGTAGGACGGAAGGTCCGAACTCCGTGATCATATTGTGTGTTTGTATTGTTTATATACACTATCACTCTTATCTTGTTTATGTTTATTTCATCATTGTGTTAGTTTATATATCCTTGCATATATTACCTCTTTTCTAGGATATATCTCTTTATTCATATTGCTTTTTATATATCCTTGCATATATTACCTCTTTTCTAGGATATATCTCTTTATTCATATTGCTTATTCTTGCTTATAACTCTTGTATATCTATCTTGCAAGAATATATTTGTATTAGTTTTAATTGGCATAAAATCAGATTAGATTAGCTTAAGATCCTAATCACCCCCCCCCCCCCCCCTGGGTCTCTTTGATTTAAGGACTAATCTCCTTGAGTTAAAGATCCAAGTTATCGTATTTTTTTGCTAATCTAGTTTTGTGATTTTATTGTTATCTTGCTTGCATATATATACATTATGGATATGTACGGTGCACCTTGTTTAGGTTATGCCATTAATGTTGCTCCTCGTTTAGATAATTTTCCCTATGCCCAATGGTCTGTTAGATTTAAACTCTTTGTTCAATCTAAACATTTTGATTTATGGAAAACTATAGATGATGATTATATTGTGCCCACTTCGAAGAAATCCAAGTGGAATAAAAATGATCATCGTATGTTTACAATGAACAATAGTTTGTTAAAATATTTGCTAAATGCTCTTGATTCATCTATGCCTAACAAGTTTGTTCATTTTAATAGTGCTTACACCTTATAGAAACTTATTAAAGCACATCAATGGGACTTGGAGGCGATCCAACAAGCTTTGAAGGCTTCTTCTTCAAGTTCCATTGGAGCATCATGCACACGAGCACTAGGCGATAGCCCTAATAAGGTTTGCGAGTTCGAATCCACTAATGATTTATCTAGTGATGAACTTGCTTGTGCTAGTAAAAAATTATTGCATGCCTATAACAAATTGCATAAAGATTTTATTGATTTACAAAGCAATCATGAAGATTTGAAATCCGATCATGAGTTGTTAACATCTAAGTTTGAAACTATTTCTAATGAAAATGTGATCCTTAAAGAAAACAATGAAAAATTAAAATTGGATCATGTTTCTTTAACTTCAAATATTGCTAGTTTAACTCATGAAAAAGATAATGCCATGTTAGAAGTAGAGAACATAAAAAATGATACTGCTTCTTTTATAAATGATTATTTATGTTCTACTTCTAAAGTTAATGCTAATATGCCTAATGATGAGTTGAACAATGTTAAAAACCGTATTTGCTCTTTAGATTCAACTCTAACTACATGCATTAACAACCACAAGAAGCTTGTGGATATGTGTGCCAAGTCTAATGCAAAATCATCCACTCATTATGCACACATATATAGATAAGTTTACAAGTGATCCATTTGTGATCGTAAAGATCATTTATCTAAATTTTGCTATGATGCACACAAATATAAAAATGCTAAAGCTCATTGTGCATCTCATCAAGTTTTTTCATCACATACACATGTATATGCACACACTCATAAAGTTCATCATAAGCATGCTCATGTGTTTAAATGTGATCTTTGTGGACGTTTTGACCATTTGGCAAAATTTTACTATGATTTGAAAAAGACTTCACTTTTGCCAAATGATTTTAAATGACCACAAAAGTTTAAGTGTGATCATTGTGGTAGATTTGGTCATTTGACCAAGTTTTGTTTTGATTTGAAGAGAGTTTCTCATTTGCAAAATAATTTTAAGGAACAATCTATTTTTGCAAATGAGTCCCGTGCACAACCGTTTGGCCAACATAAGCAAATGCCTCCTTTCAATTGCACAAATTACAATTGAAAGGGTCATTTGAACGAATATTGTTATGACCATGTTAGTGCACCATATGTGTCCAAGAGGGTTCATAACCTTAGGGCTTTGAGCTTAAAAGATAGGGGTCATGTCCCTAAACCTTTTGGTACCAAAAATACTTGGGTACCAAAACAAACTTAATTTTAAACCAAGAATTTTAGTGTTTTTCTTTTTCTTTTTCTTGGTTTTGAAAATTATACTTTAATTTTTTGAACATGAAAACAATTCTTTTTATTGGTCAAATTCTTTTGTTTTCATAATTATTGGTTTTTGTTTTGATGAGGGGTTTGTGTATATATAACCCTTCGGATTTATTGGGTGTTTATTCTTAAATCTTGTTTATCAGGTACCATAAGTCCTTATATGGGTTGGAACAAGCCTAAAAGCTTGATATATTGTTGCCTCTATTGCATTTTGTTAAAAAATTTGTTTTGAGTTATTGCTTTGAATTCATTATATAAGCACAAATAGATGATTTAAATTTCAAATATGCTTTATAATGTATTCTTTATGTGGTTTGATCAAGTTTTACAAAGAAAATTTTCTTTATTGATCAAACGTCATTTTTGGGCTTAAAATTTGATTTATGATTTCATTTGGTTAATTTGTTTTCATTTGAAAACATTTTTCATGATTCTCATGTGCCTTTTCTTTTGATTTCATAAATCTATTTTTATATATGATTTTTATGTTTATGTTTTGAGATACATTATTTCAATGGTACATCCATATGTGTTCTCATTATCTTGTCGTATGTGAGTGATATTTAGCATATTCATCTATGCTTACTTACATATGATTGCCTTAGCCTTCATTTCATATATACTTTATGGCATTTTGATAGGGGGGAGTATTCCCTATTCTATTATTGTTTTTATACTCACTCGTGCATATTGATAGGGGGAGCTTTCACTCTCTTAATTCTTTTGGTTCCCCTTTTTGATGTTGTCAAAGGGGGAGAAACATTGTGAGTATACATTTTATTGTGAGTATACATTTCCTTGTTTATATGCATGTGAACTATAATTTATATATTCATTTCCTTTCATGCATATATCCTTTTTGTAAATTGTTTGTCATCATCAAAAAGGGGGAGATTGTTGGCCTTCTTGTTTTGATAATGATTTAACAAATAATTTATATCTAATATTGTTTGTCTAGTGTTTATGTTTTGTTATTTATTATAGACAAATAATAAATTGGAGGATGGATGAAATTGCGCATTCACGATCATATCCAATGGAGGTTGGCGGAATTGTGGAGTGAAGCCTATGCAATTCAAATTGAAGATCCAAGTTCTAGCTTCATCCGCAAGTGTACCAAGTTGAGCTACATCGAAGATCAATCAAGCTTGGGTATATTTAGTTTAGGTTTTATATTATGTGTGTTAGTACTTTAAGCTCAATCATATATACACACACATATTTGGTTTTTATATATATAGTTATATATACACAAGTTTTGGTTTATGGACTTAACAATCATTGTATACATATTTCATTAAGTCTATAAAATTATTTCATAGGGTTTCAAAATATTGTTTATGTCAAAACATCAAATTTCATGTATATCACATTTTCATCTTTCGGACACACTTACAAAAAATTGTATATCTATATTCAAACAATTATTTCTCTCAACTGGGAAGTGATATTTTAGAAATTCTTTTTCTAAAATGTTTATCTACATGTCTAGAACCTTCCCTAAAAATTTCATAACTTTTGGAGTTGATTTATTATTTTTAATTAATTTTACAAAGTTAGATACGTAAAATTCCAGAATCTGTCAAAAAGAGAAACTGTCTGTGAACAGTGCGGTCGACCGCTACAGTGCGTGCTACAGTGTGGTCGACCGCCACGGTCGACCGTCTGTAGTCCAGAGAGCTGTTTTGCAGTCTTTCTTCTCGCGGTCGACCGTCACGGTCGACCACCGAAGTTACCGTTGCACAGTAATGGTAACTTGCTGATTTTTATTTTTTAGTGGGTTTTTAGGGTTTTTTGGGTTATTTTCTTCTACCCTATATATACCCCTTTGCCATAACTATTTTCATCACCAAGAGAGAGTTTTAAATAAGTTTTAAAAGAGATTAAAAGTTTGTTTAGTTTGTTTTAAGTTTGAGGTTTTTGTTTACAAAGGAGGAGCAACAACGTACGCCTATTTAACGTGGCCCTCAACCACAGAGCTTTTGTTTTTTGTTTTTATTTTTCAATTAAACATACTATCTGAAGAAAAATATATATAGTTTTCTTAATGGAATTATCTAGAAAAGTTACTTTGTCACTCAAATTAAAATATATGTCATAACCAATTTCGAATGAGGGAAGACAAAACATCGCGTATTTAATAAACAAATATCATGGAAAAATCTTACAAAAATCGTTTTAAAGTTAAGCTTTTTATATAAAAGTTTGAATAATTAAGTTTTATTTTGCACGTGTTGCTAGTTGCAAATAAAGGCAATTAAATTTCCTGCATATAGCAATGAACAAGCAAGTAGGAAGTTGTATGCAACATATGCAACAGTTACAATAGCAGACCAGTCGTTAAGAATGAAAGATGCCAGCAGTTTAAAACAAGTGAAAACCCAGAAATTTTAGTATTTCTCGAAGAAACATACACAAAGCCTATATCGCCTACACACAACAAATCTCCGAAATCAGATCAATCCATGTACAACATTCACACAAAAGAAATTCTTGACTAGCATCAAATCTCCAGAGAGTTATTTCATGCAACCGCAATGTCCACGATCGTTCATAATAAAAAACTGTTCATCAGGTCATGCAGCTTGCAAGCTTGTAGATGTAATCACACCAAAACAATAAAATGTCCCAAAATATCAGCTACTGATTCATCATATCATCCACTTCCGAGGCCCTTGCTCACCTTTGCCATCTCCTTTCTGAAAAATAAATTACAAGGTTTGAGACCATAAATTCTTGCTGACAACTACATTAAACAGACACTGCTAACATTCAGATGAATATCGATGAATACCATAAATTTTAATTTTAAAGACTTTCAGTACGTTACATCTCCACCGAATGTATAATATTAACATAAAGTTGTACATGTGACCAAAAAAGAGATTGTTTGAAAGGCGGAGTATGGTTTACAGGGCAGCATATTGTGTCAACTCCTAGGCAATGCACTTACATGAAACTACAGGCTGACGCATTATTATCAAACAGTTATGAGTTTATCATTCATCTTCTGTAGTTGGCAAAATATATCAAATTACTTTTCTAGGCAAATTATTCCCAAAAATGCAACAAAAAAAAGAGAAAGAAAGAAGAAATATATACAAATTCACATGTCATAATAATGCCAGACCCAACCTGCAGCACGAAATTTCAAGGACAAAATAAATTACACATACCTGGCAGATACATAGCAGCCTATTTTACAAGATGATTTGCTGTGGTTCCACCGCAAAATAAATAAAATAAATCAATGTTGTATATACAGCCATATACAAAGACCAAGTGGGGTATCATACATTAAACACAGACAAGTTACGGACATATTACGAAGTTACTACTTGCAATGATTTCACCCTTCATGAGGTGAAATGACTTATATCTCAAAACCGGGTTATTCTTAATTGAGAAGTGTAAGATATGTTTAAGCTAGGCTGAAAATGCAGGCAGTGACCAACGGGGTTCACCGCACCGAAATTTTGTTTTATTTTTTAATTAACTTCTGCAGCTATCCAAAAGTTAAATATAGTTAAGAATATCAAGAATTTACCAGAAGATGTCTGAGGGGAATGGCTACTATTACGCTTTGAACTCTGCAGTGTTTGTGATGCAGACCTCTGGACCCTTGGGGAGGAATCCTTCTTCTCATCCCCAATTGGCAAGGAATGTCTCTTCTTCAAATGGTTATCTTTGTCATGGACATCGGGGCTAGATTTCAGAGAGAGACTCCCATGAGCCTTGGCCCTTGCAGATTCAGTTGCTTGCATATAACTTGGAAGTGAGGTAGTACTACTGCGCCTGGTTTCATCATCAGTATGATCAGTTTTAGCCGCTGCAAATGAGCTCTGCCTATTACCATTCTTCGCATCCCTTAACAAATGCTTGTTACTGCTCTTATCGTCTAAATCACTCTTGATAGTTGATGGGGACTTCTTGCTCCTTGATTTGGATTTTGACTTTTGAGAAGGCATATTGCTGCTCTCTGACTTGCTTGTTTTAGACTGTATGGACACCTGGCTTGAGGGAGTATCATGTGACTCTGGAACAGTCATATGGTTTCTGGGAGATCCTTCTGGTGACAACCTATAAGCCTGCATTTTCAAGTTTTCTTGTTCGCTCCAGATGCCCGGTGTGATTATCTCTACTGGTTGCTCCTCTACATTTAGTGAATCAATTGCGGTGACTGTGTTTTCATCATTGTGATTGGGTCTCTGCGCTTTAGTTTCATCTGAAGCAGAGGAAAGTATTCTCTCTTCAGTTTTAATGCTTTCAGCATTAAATGCCTCACCACCAACAGTATTTAAGTTATGGTTTCCCTCCCCTGAAGTTCCAATTTCAAGAACAATTTCACCACCATCAGTCTCAGATCTATCTGGAGAATCAAGTGTTGAAGAAATAGATATTTCTGTGCCACATTCCGAAGCAGCAATTTGAGTTGTTGAATTTTGGGTGCTTAAGTTAAGAGTAGAGCTTGCATCTGTATCCTTTGCTACAGAAACCACCTGAGAGTAATTTGGTTTTGATTCAACAGCAGTATCTCGCCAAACACTGACAGACTTAACAGGTTGAGGAGCAGAACTTAGTTCCTCAAATTTTGCCTGAACAGCAGCAAATGCGGGATTACGAATTTTCTTTGATCCCAGATCTGACTTTTTCCCTTCAGTGTCAGCTAGATCGGAAGCATCTGTTTCAGTTGTACGGTTGAGATCCTCCTTGACATACTCCATGCAATTTGGATAATTATCATGTTTGGACTGTGAACCAGCATCAGTGCTTTCTTTACCCCCAACAGTCTGACCAATGTTCTCTTCTTTCATCCCAATAAACTCTTCCACCTCGGAATGCTCTTTGTCACCCTCTGCTGAAAAACTGAAATTTTGTACGGAAACAATTGCTGAAGCCTGAGATTCAAAATTGCCAAAATAATCAATTTTTAAATCCCCATCACCTTTAGCAGCTGATGATTTTTGAGCGGGCATATTGGAACCAGATAATACAGAGGCCTCAACAGGGATAACATCTAGCTCTCCATAAGTAGAATTACTTATTTTTTCCTGTCCCTGATAATCATCGATGCAATTGAGATTCTGCTCTTGGCCTACTTTTGATGAGATTACAGTCATCCACCTCTCCAACCATTGCCATGATGAATCATGTCTCAAAGGATCACAAATAATACGGGTTCGTGTTGTCTTTGGTGTACTCTCCAGAAGCTGTGAATGAACGTAAAACTATGAGTTTCATTGAGGATACCAAACTGTGAGGATCTTAATAATTTGAAAAAGTGAAAGCGAATAGATCCATCATACCTGACGAGCAAACCCATTGGAAAGTAACTTCTCCATGGTAGAGTTTGTTTTATTTGATTTTATGTCAGAACTTCTCTTCACCTGAACAAAGAAACTAGGTCAAGCTGGTGAAATAAATGGAACGAGAATCACATCTTTCTAGAGGAGATCAACTTAATACGCGAACCCCTAATAATTGAGAATGAGAAACAACTTCAGGAATATCAATTTATGTACGCTAGACCAAATGGAAAGGTGGGAATAGTTATCTAAAAAAATCAAACCTGTCGAGGAAGGGAGAGAGCCATTTATATATAGGTAGGTGGGCAGCTAGGTGGATAGGAGGGAGGGAGGAGGACGTTGGGAGAAAGAGAGAGAGAAGCAAATGAAAGTTTACAAAGCAAGACATATAGATCATCATCGGTACGGATGGCCCTTAAGGAGACATGGCGACAGATTTTTCAAGAAGAAACAGCTTAGGCATGAAAAGGAATGTCAACCAGCCACCAAGTTTGCACGCAGTATAAATTGCAAGTCATGATCAGAGCGTAGATAACCAATCATTTCAGGATTTACCATCTGAAACTTTGAATAAACTTATGTCTAGAACCCAAATGTAACAAGCACATGCAAAGATAAAATGAATATCTGAAGGAAAATTCTATTGCGTAAAAATAATCCACTGGTGGTAACTAAACAAAAATTGTATTTACCAAGTCATTGTGAAACTCCTCGTCAACCTTTCCTTGTTCAGTACACTTCTGCAGCAATTGAAATTGATGTGCACGACGAGCTCGTACCAGTGTTTGCATTTTTGCGATGGCCTGTACACACCGTAAAGTTCCAATGGCCTGGCTCCGGACCAGATGGCCACGGACAGCACATTGCAGCTTGACAACATACTTAAGTTTCTGGAGTTCTCTCTGAGCCTAAAAAATAATAAATAAAACTTTAGAAAATTTTTCATCAGATACCCGAAGCAACATCAGAATCTTGAACTCTCACCAAGAATCTCCTAGCAGCAGCCTGAATAATGACAGCAACTTTCTCCTGAAGACTGACATCTGTGGATGTAGTGATTTCACCAGTATCTGATGTAACTTTTACTTCTGGATCAACGGCAGCTGAGGAAAATGGTACAGTTTCATTCGCCTGCTCCACGACTGAAGAACTTCCTGAATTAACTGCAGCAAAGGCCAATGATGTTGTTTCACTCTTCTGTTCTTCAGAAGATGGCTTTTCCAAATGACTAACTGCTGAGGATAAAGGTTCTGTTACATTTTCTTTTTCCACGACAGGGTACTTTTCTGGAACAGATGAATCCTTCACTGGATAAAATTTATCAGTTGTTGCTTCTGGAATTTCCTTGTTAGCACCAACAAATTGAGGTTCAGAAATCACGGTGTTGCTTGGTACTTGATGTCTAGCAGATCTCTTACGGAAACTCCACCTGCGCTTATCCGATGATTGCTTGCTCTAAAAGGTTGAGACATGAAAAGATAGCACATGACTCAGGAAACCTTCCCAAATGTACTAACAAACAAAAAGAATATACATTGTAATATCTTGAAAACTTAACATATCAAGAGCAAGATTAGAGAATAACATACGCGACCAATATAATTATCATCTAATTCATGGTTGGAAAATTTATTGCCATATATGTACTTACCCTAGAAGAATTTGAGATTTTGAATAATCAAATTCGTTGCAAAAGAATACCACTCGAATCCAGCATGTAAACAAACGCAACAATATAATCTTTGTACTTGTCCTTACTAAGGAACACACTAATATGTTCCTTAAACCTTCAGTAAAAGAAAGGTACCGAAACTTGAGCATAATAGCGGACTACCATCCCAGTATCTATAGGTCAATGAAGACATCCAATTTTGTCAAATCAAAGATACATCTTCCATATGGTTCTCAGTCTATGATTCATACACAA